AGCTTACAATGAAAAGAATCACCCATTTATCTGGAGTATATTATAATTATGATTGAATGAGGTGGGTGTCACCTGGTTTCAGAGGTAAAATTGTTTTAAAAAACGGCTGCTTAAGTTTGGTTGGTTATTTACACAGCCTCGTAGTCTATGGAAACTGTACAATTTCTGTGCCTTTAATCAAATTTTCTCAGTATAATTCACACTGAAATAGATTCTTAGATAGACATAGAAGGTGTAGAGCCAAAAATCAAAATTTCGATAAAAATTGCAAAACCAGTGGAAAAGAGTCAGTTTCTTTACTTTCATTATTTAATTATTTTGACAAGCGCTTGATTTCACCGCACTCACATATTATAAAACTCTTATCTTAAAAATTCAAAATGTTGGGCTTAGCACATCGGAACAGCCGGCCGGCGATATGTGTCCGTTCGAATTATGTCAGTACAAATTGATATGTGAAGCGTGCTGACAAAAATGAGTTACCTCTCGGATTCAAGCCTTAAAGAAATAGATACATCACGCTTATATTTTTATGATATATAAGAATGCAATAATAAAAGACAAATTATAGTTAAAGAATATGGCATCAGTAGAAAAATCTACAAATTTGACCTTAATGTCGTTTTTTGGACAATATCTCCTTTTGGGGATTGCGAGAGGTGGCTCATTTTGTCCTCACATATTGAGACATCACAAAAGTGCTGTGAGCACATTTCAGCTGTGTTGCATTTACCAGCTCCAAGTCGGTCATGGATCTGCTGTCATCTTGTCGCCATACCATCCCCTCCCTTCATTCACTCCAACCCCACCCTACCCACCCTCGCACCTCTTCGCCCTCCCCCCCCCTTCCATCCCCTCTCCCACCCACACAGCCATTCCCCTCCTTAAAAAGTTTGCGTCTTGGGTGGTTGGCGGGTGCTCTGGTGTGGTTTGCTTCTTTTTTCCTATCAAACATCTACATGATTCACCCTCCTCTCTATCCCTTCTTGTGTTTGTATGTTACTTTTCTAGTAACACTTTGTATGTTATTTTTCTAGTAACACTTCTTCATCATTTAGATGACCTCTATATGTGTACTCTTACTAAAACTACATTAAAAAGTTCCTCTCTAGTGAAAAGAAGCACTAAAAGCACAAAGCAAAAACTCCTCACTATATTATGTGCAAGCAGCACATAACATTCTTTCCTCAAAAGTTTGATGTCGTTATTATATGTGAGGTAGCGTGGTGGAATCAGGCTCTCGTCAATTTTGGGGCATGTAGAGTTATTGGTATCTTGTTTACCTGTCTTTATTTGGATGAAAAAAGTATCCATTTATCTTGAATACAAGAGATATTTACAAAAGAAGGAGGTGGGGGTCACTTGTTTTTAGAGGTAAAATTAGTGAGAAAATGGCTGCCAAAGGTTAGTTATTTCCTTAGCTTAAGAGTCCGTGGTAACTAAAAATTTACATTTTCTCACATTTCTGTGCCTTTAATCAACGTTTTTCAGAAAAATCCACACAGAAATGAGTTCTTTAATGGGCATAAAAGGTGTTGAGCCAAAAACAAAAATTTAATAAAAATTCACAAACCTGCGGAAAAATGCAATAATTCTTAATTTTTATTATTTTGACGAGAGCCTGCTTCCACCACGCTGACTCACATATTTCAATATCAAATAAGAGAGACTTTTCAATCTTTAGATATCAAGAGTCCACTTTCATAGAATAATAATACAAACAATAAAAATAAAGATCACTTCTACAGCGCCCAATCCTTGAAGCTTCTAGGCACTTCACAATAAAATAATGCAATAAAAATCTGACAGAGCGATGAAAAGCATGCTCGAAAAGCAACTCAAAGTCAAGAACTTGAAAGAAAAAAAACAAACAAACAAGTTATTCATTCATAACAGTAATAATATTATGCTAAAGAACACTGGCTCTGGGTGCTTTACAAATACAAGGGCAACATATAAACAGTACATTGTGTCCCGACTCAAAATATATATGTGAGGCAGCATGGTGGAATCAGGCTCTCGTCAAAATAATCCAGGTGAAGAAACTTGCATTTTTCCACAGGCTTGTGAATTTTTATCAAATTTTTGTTTTTGGGCTCAACACCTTTCATGCCCATTAAAAAACACATTTCTGTATGGACTTTTCTGAAAAACGTTGATTAAAGGCACAAAAAATGTAAATTTTCAGTAACTAGTCTTTGGCGGCCATTTTCTCACTAATTTTACCTCTGAAAACAGGTGACCCCCACCTCCTTCATTCGCAAATATCTCGACTTGTATTCAAGATAAATGGATATTTTTTTCATCCAAATAAAAACAAGTGAACAAGCTTTCAGATGATTCCAATAACTCTACATGTCCAAGAATTGACGAGAGCCTGATTCCACCACACTGCCTCACATATATATATATATACATGTATAAACATATCATCGCCTCAGAACTATTATGTCCAAAGTGTACTGAAGTTGTTGTTTTGGGGGTTTTTTAATAGTAGAGGGTTTTACGGCGCTCGCAACTGCATAAGATCATATGAGCGCCAAGGGGTGGGTGTCAACAGAGAAGTCTTTACAGGGAATCAGACTTATTCTACTCACCTCTCTAGCTTCAACAGCACACGGTCTGCTTCGACTATCAAGGCACCCCGGAAATAGCAGGTCAAAAGAGAGGGACAAACATACAAAAGAAGCTGAGGAAAATGACAATAGTAAGGATCAGGAAAGAAAAAGCAGCAGTTCCCTGTAGTAGATCAGGCACAGTTATGAGCGTGACAAGAATCAGCCCATTTACAATTCTACTGTGCTTGAACGAGAAATGTCCCCCCCTTTGGGAATGGCCTAAAGACACTACAGTCAGAGGCACTACCCGAGGGGGACTGAAGTATATAGAGTTGTCCACAGTATACTGAAGTATAGAGTCGTCCACAGTGTACTGAAGTATAGAGTTGTCCACAGTGTACTGAAGTATAGAGTCGTCCACAGTGTACTGAAGTATAGAGTCGTCCACAGTGTACTGAAAAGTATATAGAGTTGTCCACAGTATACTGAAGTATAGAGTATACTGAAGTATAGAGTCGTCCACAGTGTACTGAAGTATAGAGTCGTCCACAGTATACTGAAGTATAGAGTCGTCCACAGTATACTGAAGTATAGAGTCTTCCACAGTATACTGAAGTTAAGTATAGAGTGAACTTTGGACAAAACAGTTCTAAGGCCATCATACTTCAGCTGACATTTGGATGAATAAAAAGATTTGATCTCTCTTATAATACTGAAAATTCAAGATCTTGAGGGGCCATGATGTACAAATGCCCTTTCACCCACTATTTCAATTTCAAGTTTTATATAATAAGGTAAAAGAAAAACCCAACCAAAGCTGCTACATCTCAAACATATATGATAAACACATGATGAAGGAATTATTGCAAATATTACAGAACTATTTCAAAATGAGAAGTTTCTTCAATGGAATGTCTCGACAACAAAAGCACTTTTTGGCATTTCAAAAGGCATCAAAGATTTAAAAAAGGTAAGAAAAGAAAATAGTAAATACGAATTTGCATTTTTGGCACTTTAAATGTCATCAAAGATTTCAAAAAGGACAAATTTTTCCAAAAAAATGTTTTAAGTACAGTCAAACTCGGATATAACAGAACAGGCGGGACCGGCAGTTTTTCCCTGTTATAAGCGAGACCTGTTATAACCGTTATCAAGGAAAACTACCAGTACCATTGCACCTTCAGCATATATTATATTCAATTACCACAGATCATTTTCCAGTGGGCTGTTTTGCTGACACTGAGATGGAATCGATCAGTGACCCAAATTCTTTTGGGGGCAGGTATGTGTTTCAAAGTTTGTGCATAGGTGAGCGATCATACAAACAAGCCAAATGTCTTGGTTGAGACAAATTTTAATAATTTGACAGATTGAAAGCAAGGTCACTGTTATATCCGAGTCAGCGCAAATTGAAGCCTGATATATAGCCAGGTTCATATTACTTACACTTATAGAGAAAAAAACCACACAGGAATTTGGTTTTATCACCGTTATATCCAAGTTCCTGTACTGACAGAGGCTGTTCTAAATGGACTGTACTGCACATGTTTTAACACCCCAACTGAAACAAGTAAGATCATTTAGGAGGCGGGCTTCTCACCCTGCCTGTCAGTGCAGGGCAAACCCAGGCTGGGAGGGATCCAATAATACCTCAGCAGAAAGACAAGAGATACTCAATTAAATATTCTCCTCGCTCTGGAACTGATCTCCAGTCTCCTACACTTCACAGCCAAACAGCTAACCGCTACACACCAGACGCCAGTAAAATGTTCATAAAAATCCATGTCAAATCAAACGACGACACACCATTCCTCACACATGCAAAACAAACACAACTTCTGCACTCATTATCACAACACACTGCTTTGTAAAAAGGAAAAATCTTCACTTGACTTTGTTACACCCGTATCTCATCTCTCAGACCCAGGTGCCACGTACCGGTCACCAGCATGGAAGCAGCTACAACTCACTCTGCCACTCGAACTCTCTAAGACAGCCAACATTGTCTAAGATGGCCACCCAAAGTCAAGGAGAAACATGGCCATCTTAAATAGGTGGCTGTCTTATACACAGTATTATTTGAATGTTTAAAAAAAAACCAACTGCAAGGTGGAAAAAATGGAAAGTGGCCATTAGTACGTGTAATAATAATATAATAAATAATAAATAGCATTTGTATAGCGCATATCCCCGCTCAACAGCAGGCTCTATGCGCTTTACACTATATTATTACCCCAGCAGACCATAGAACACTCAGAAACATTCTCAGTTTCCCGGGAAGCATACCAAGCAAGCAGCTGATTAAGCGCTCAAACACTAACAAACTGACAAGATCTTTCGCTGTCTATAGCCGGGTACCCATTCCCACCTGGGTAAAGTGAGGAAAATTGGTGCAAAGTGCCTTTTCCAAGGACACAACGTCGGGCCCCTGACGGGATTCGAACCCACGACCTTACAGTTGCGAGTCCAAGAGCCTAACCACTGGGCCACCGACGCCACATGTGGTGATTGTCTTGTTCTATACACGTGGCTGTGAGAGCAGGCTCAACTGTTACTAATTTGCGACGGTTTTAGCGGCTATACATCTGTTCTGAAACTAAAATTATGGTGGTTTGACCCTTAACAGCAGTGCATCTGCACAAGGGTGTGAAAATTAAAAAATTGTGACCCAACACTTTGCAATCAGACCCTCGTCAATTTGTGGGCACATGGAGCTATGGGTATGGTCTAAAAGCTTGTTTATTTGCTTTGCTTTTGACGAAAAATATGTCCATCTACCTTGAATAGAAGGTTAGATATTTAAAATTGAAGGATATGGGGTCGCATATGTTCAGGGGTAAATTTAGAGAAGAAATAACTGCCAAAGTTAGGGGATTTCTAAAGCTAGAGTGTCTTTGGAAACGGCAAATATTTACATTTGTTGTGCCTTTGATCAAGTTTTTCAAAAAAAAAATAACATGCAAACAGAAATATGTTTTCAAAGGGATAGAAAATGTGCTGATCCCAAAATTAAAAAATCGAACAAAATTGCAAAGCGGGAGAAAAAAAATGTCAATTTCTTCATTTTAATTAATTTGACGACTGCCTGATTTCATAACGCTGCGACATAATTTCTCTTAACGCCATGTAATCAACATGTGTTTGGTTTAAGTGTAAACCTGAACTCGTTCATCCCCCCCCCTCCCGCTTACGTAAACGTCTTCGGAGCCATCAGACCAAAAGTCCGGCGTCCTTGAGGAGAGAGGCCACATACTCTCGCACCTGGACGTGAAGTGACTCTCTCGTCTCGCGGAAAATCTCCACGGCCAGATGTCTCACGGCGTCTGAACCTCGTGTCATCTCCGAGTACAGCGGCTTTGTGTACTTGAGCTTCCCTGGATAGATAGATAGATAGATAGATAGATAGATAGATAGATAGATAGATAGGTAGGTAGGTAGGTAGGTAGATAGGTAGGTAGGTAGGTATGTAGGTAGGTAGGTAGGTAGGTAGGTAGGTAGGTAGGTAGGTAGGTAGGTAGGTAGGTTGGTAGATAGATAGATAGGCGACATCTCCGAGTAAAGCGGCTTTGTGTACTTGAGCTTAGATAGATAGATAGATAGATAGATAGACAGACAGACAGACAGACAGACAGACAGACAGACAGACAGACAGACAGACAGACAGACAGACAGACAGACAGACAGACAGACAGACAGACAGACAGATAGGCGACATCTCTGAGTACAGTGGCTTCGTGTACTTGAGCTTAGATAGATAGATAGATAGATAGATAGATAGATAGATAGATAGATAGATAGATAGATAGATAGACAAACAGACAGACAGACGGACAGACAGACAGACAGACAGACAGACAGACAGACAGACAGACAGGCGACATCTCTGAGTACAGTGGCTTGGTGTACTTGAGCTTCCCTGGATAGATAGATAGACAGATAGATAGACAGACAGACAGACAGACAGACAGACAGAGAGACAGACAGACAGACAGACAGACAGACAGACAGACAGACAGACGGACAGACAGATAGACAGACAGACAGACAGACAGACAGACAGACAGGCGGACAGACAGACAGACAGACAGACAGACAGACAGATGGGCAGATGGATGGATGGATCCGGCGGTCCCACAGAGTCCAGTCAAAGTGGACTCCATTGAACAACAAAACAAACAAAAAAGCATGAACTACGAGAAGAAAGACTGACCTTGGCTTTTCATGAAAGATCTGACGTCCTGGAAGAAATTTCCAGCATCATTTTTGATCACCACCTCACACCATCTCAACAAGATCTGAAAGGAGAAAGAGGAGAATTTCTTACGAATTCTATACTCATTAGAGATAATACAACAGACATATAGCCGTCATTCTTTCTTTACAAATGACAGTAATCCAATTTTGCTCAAATCAGTGCTTTTCTGCAGTCTTGGCTGCTGCTATAGTTAAGTAATTTCGTACACTGCCAATTTTTTAAAGCTAAAGATAGATACTTTTGCTGAGTTGGCTAATTTGGGAGGACATAGACGTATCATAAACTAACTGAACCCCTAAAGGTTCTTAAGATTTCTTTTTGAACAAATGGTATGACTATTGATGTCAATTTGGAGATTTCTAATGGCTTTTGTATTTTCACTCTCAACAATATTTTAGCCTTGGCATCATTCAGCTTCAATTTATTACTGGTCATCCATATTTTCAATTCCTAGATAGATAGATCACTCAGTGGATAGACTAAAAGCGACATTTAATCAGAATCAATAGACTTATAAATCTGAGTGTCATCAGCATAAAGATGGTAATTCTAGCCATATTATTGTCTTAAAATGTCAGCAAAAGGCCTCTACTTCACGACGATGCGTGACTGTTGTCATCAAGTCTGCTTTTGTATTTCTGTTTGTGTAACCAATTAAGGTATTGGAAACTCCTCAAGAGATGTCAGATGGAACTGAACAAACCATCTGCTAGCTTTTCAGATGAACTGAGCCCAAAATTTTGAAAATATTTGTTGTACTCGCAGTTTCTTCATCAGTGATATTTGTTGCATGTGCTCAAGAAAATATTTTGTCCAAATTCAAATTCCACATGTTGACAAATGCAAGAAAAAAATAAACATAATGTACGTATAATTGTTAAAAGAAAGAAGCAGTTCTTTTTTCCTCTTTCATAAAAAAATTTTTCTTTCTGAGCTTCGTACATATGAACAGTGAAAGATCTTGTTAGTTTAGTTTAGTTTAGTAGGAGTTTTACGGCACTTGCAACACAATAAGGTCATATAAGTGCCGAAGATTAGAGGTGTTACAAGAGGGTAACAATCAAGAAAAAGAAGGAGGGGAGATGGAGACGATAGATTTTTTGTAGGAAAGAAGGAGCAAACCTCACTAGTGCACCCGCCAACCACCAACCTTTTTAATTTGTTAGTGTTTGAGCGCTTAATCAGCTGCTTGCACTGTTTGCTTCCCAGGAAACTGAGAATACTTCTGAATATTCTTGGGTCTGCTGGGGTAATTAATAATATAGTGTAAAAAAAATAGAGCTTGCTGTCGAGCGGGGATATGTGCTATAAAATGCTATTCAATATTATTTATTTTTATTACAGCTTGCCGGCGAAACATACAAAGGAGGAGGCCGCACACACGACAACTTCTGGCAAGAAGCTCACCTCTGAGTTGTGAGAGGCAGACAAGAAAGGATAAGTGTCTGCCAGCTTTTTCATGCAGCCGGCGGGCAGGGGAGACTTGCTGGCCACCTCGTCAAGGAAGTACAGGACCGAGTACGCTTTCCACAGGCTCATGTCTGGGGCCTCACTGCCCTGTGAAGAGGTGAGGTGAGGTGAGAAGAGATGAGAAGAGGTGAGGTGAGGTAAGGTGAGGAGTGATGAGGTGAGGTGAGATGCGGTGAGATGAGATAAGAAGAGATGAGAAGAGGTGAGAAGAGGTGAGGTGAGGTAAGGTGAGGTGTGATGAGGTGAGGTGAGGTGAGGTGAGGCAAGGTGAGGTGAGGCGAGGTGAGGTGTGATGAAGTGAGGTGAGATGCGGTGAGATGAGATAAGAAGAGAAAAAAAAGGAGAGGTGAGGCGAGGTGAGGTGAGGTGATGTGAGATGGGATGAGATGAGGTTTGATGTGGTGATGTGAGGTGAGGTGAGAAGAGGTGAGGTCCGAGTTAACTGATTTCCGCAAAGCAAATTTGCAGCAGCGTGGTAAATACGTACATGCCCTGGTCAACACACAAACGTACTCACTATCTCTCTCTCTCTCTCTCTCTCTCTCTCTCTCTCTCTCTCTCTCACACACACACACACACACACAGAGTCAGTGGAATTGTTATGATGGTGAATGTTTTACATCACGATCAACCCAATTTAGACCATTTCTAAGGCCAGCTGCTTCAAACCTGCCAATCCACACTGAGTGGAATACAATGTCCTGACAGTAATATAGCGTAAAGCGCATAGAGCCTGCTGTAGAGCGGGGATATGCACTATACAAATGCTATTTATTATTATTATTATTAATATTGCTAAAAGAAAAAAAAATCACATTTACAGTCTCCTAAAATCATGAACATTTCTCTTTGACATTTAAAGGAAAGAACTGCAGGGGGGGGGGGGGGGGGGGGTTAAATCAGTACAAACCTACCAATAACGCCATAACTGAAAATAGGAGTTTCCCTCAGAATACCACCTACAAATGAGAGAGCTTTTTCTTTTTCTGGGCCAACAGTTTAGAACACTCCCTCTCATGATTTGAGGAGCGAAATAAAATTTGATGCCTTCAAAAGGGGACTCAAAACACATCTATTTAAGAAATATTTTAATTAACGGACAGTACCTTGCCTTTTTGTATGAGCATTTTTTATTGTCTGAAAGAATGTTGCTGTCAAAATGTGCGCACATGACGAATTTGTATGGTGTTAGTATGAATGCCTTTCTAATCTCCTATGTACGCCTTGGGCCCATGTTGTGGGGAAAGGTGGGATACAAATGCTCTTATTATTATTATTATTATTATTATTATTATCATCAAATTGTTGGAGTTTGGGGGAAAAAATCTGAGTCTCCAGAACCCCAGCAAATCGTTTGTTTTTGTAAGAGTTTTACGGCGCTCGCAACTGCAAAAGCTCATATGAGCGCCAGAAGATTACAGGTGTTACAAGAGAGTAACAAACATAAAAAAGAAGAAGGGGAGATAAGGACAATAGATGTTTCATAGGAAAGAAGAAGCAAACCACACCAGAACACCCGCCAACCACCCACCCTAGCAGATTAAAATAAGGTTTACAAGCTGAAAGTAGGAAATGGATATGTATTGCAAATAAACGCAAATAAAAATGGGTATTTTCACGTCATTAATGATACGAGTAAGTCACTCAAATATTGTGAATAAACCAGTGTATTTCCACGTCATTTATGATAAGTTGCAGACAGCTGATGAAAATTAAATTCAAGAATTCAAAAAAATATATATATATATTTTAAGGCAAATCCGATCGAGGTTCTTCAAAGGGCCAAAAAAAATATAAAAAATCAAAGAGCTCCGACTGTATCAGAAAACTTGTCAGGCCTGGTAATATCCAAGTCCAAACAGACTGCTTATTGTAATACCCAGTGCCCATTGGCAAGATCAGTTCGGTTCGATTTGATCGTCGGGACTAGCGAAATTTTCCACCATGAAGGGAGAAAAGTTGGGGGGGGGGGAGGGATTAACATGTTCTTATGCTCAGTAGAATTGTAAATGGGCTGATTCATCAATGTCAAGCTCATACTGCGCCAGAACAACATAGGGGGAACTGCTGCTTTTTCCTTCCTCATCCTTACTATCGTCATTTTCCTCTACTTTTTTTGTATGTTTGTCCCTCTCTTGTGACCTGCTATTTCCGGGGTGCCTCGATAGTCGAAGCAGACTTTATGCTGTTGAAGCTAGAGAGGTGAGCAGAGTAAGCCTGATTCTTTGTTTCGGCTTCTTTGTTGACATCCACCCCTTGGCGCTCTTATGACCTTATGCAGTTGCAAGCGCTGTAAAAACTCTACTAAAACTAAAACAAGGAAGCAGTCTCTGACCTTCCTGCGACCGTCACAGATGATCTCTGCGGCCCTCTCTGCCTCAGCCGTCAGCTCTTTCTTGTCCGAGAGGTCCGGGCAGTACGGAGATCGGCCTGGCTTGTTCAGCCACGTCGCCACAAACTCCAACCCCGGCCTGTGGAAATAGCAAACAAGTCATTGGCAGTGCTGGTCTTCGGATGAGTTTATCTTTCTTTTTCCTCTACCCTAACGACATAAACTCATCCGTAGTCGGCTCTCAACTGTAAAGTCATGCGTTCAAATCCCATCAAGGGCCTGATTTTGTGTCTTTCGGAAAGGCACTTAACACAAATTTTCCAGACTTCAACCAGGTGGGAATGGGAGCCAAGTTATTATTAATGAAATATCTCGTCAGTTTGTCAATGTTTTAACGTGTGAAATCCAAAGTTTTTCGAGTGTTCTAAAGTCTGCTTGGTTAATAATAGCTATAAAGCGCATAGAGCTTGCTGCAGAACAGGAATATGCGCTATACAAAAGCTATTTATTTTTATCTATTTTTACTTTCTGCATTTGATGGCAGACAGTTTCTCTCTATATCAACTCCTCTTCTAAAACAAACGTGAGGCGGTTTTGAAGACGCAGTACACCTGTCGTCATTTATCATTTGAAAATGCTGAAGCCAAAAGAAGTCTGTAAGCTGAGCACATTCATGAGGGGAAAGGAAGCTTTTGAAATACACTCAAACTGAGGCAAACAGTCACAACTGATCTGATTGGCCATAGTAGAAGCCATAAGTCGTCTAACCCCTGGTTGTTTCACTAAAGAAACATTCTACTCTGCAGATGCGTTGGTCATTGTCAGATGTTGATGGACTAACTATTGTTATAATAATATATGTGCCACGACGCTTCGAAATCAGGCGCTCGTCAATTTTAGGGCGTATGGAGCTATTGTATCAACTTAAAGCCTGTTCATTTGCCTTCATTTTGGTGAAAAAATATCCATCTATGTTGAATAGAAGTCAAGATATTTGCAATTGAAGGAAGTGAGGGCGTCCAGTTTCAGTGATGAAATTAGTGAGAAAATGGCCGCCAAAGTTTGGTAACTCTAAAAGCTGTTGTGCTTTTAATCAATGTTTTTCATGAAAATGTGTTTTTATACTGACATAAAAGAGGTTGAGCCAAAAAACGAAAATTTGATAACAAATTTCCAAACTGGCGGAAAAATGCCTGTTTCTCCAATATCTGTGTTCTGACAAGCGCCTAATTTCACCACGCTGCCTCACATTTGTGTCCGTCTGTTGGTGCCCCACCCCCTCGTCACAACAGGCCTCTGTCTATCCCCTCTCTGCTTTGACGTATTATTTCATAAACTTGTAGACCTCTGTTGGATTGAACGTCGTTTATGTATGAACGATGTAGGCAGTCTTCCCCTTTTGTCTCTTTGCCTCGACTTGACCATGCAGGACAGTTGTAATTAGGTCAGTTTATACATTTCGGATAGCGTGACCCAGGTACTTGAGACTCCTTATGCCGATCTCAGAGAGATGAAAATAATAAATGCTATAGGTTTAACGTCCTTATCAATATTGTTAGGTTATTTAATAGGCGTCATTTCCCAGTTCATCTGAAAGGACAGAGCCAAGCGGGAAGTTCATGTAAAGTGCCTTTCCCAAGGACACAATGTCAGACCGAGCAGAGGCTCGAAACCCCAAACTCGCAATCTCACAAATACAAGTCCAGTAGCCTAACCTCAGAGAGCTGAAGATGTAATGTTGCAACAAAAAAAATTTTTAAAAACATTAAAAAGTTATAAAATATTTATTTTTTAAAATTTAAGATGAAAAGAAGGAATGAGAAACTTCTACAGCTCTCAACCGCTAAACAAAACCAACATAAAAGAAGACCTAACTTAAAACCAAAAAAAAGACATTATTTAAAGAAAATTTTTGAGAAAACATGGCTTGATAAGTCTTGAACTGACCATAGAAATTATCATAAATTATCGCCACTGACCTTGTCTTTCTACACAGAACTCTTCTATGAGAAAAGAGTGACAGAACTCACTAACTGCTGAACCGACTTACTTTTCATCCACTTTCTCATCTCTCAGACGTGGAAAGTACTCCAAGAAGAAATCGAAAAAGTCTTCAGACAGAACACTCTGGATTTCAGAAAACAAAGAGGAAACAAATCAAAAATAAAAACCCAAAAACTTTCAATTTTCAGGGATGTATCGTCAATACATCTATAACTTTTGGGGAACCCACTTGGACATATCCACGGTATATCCAAAGTTTGGTTCATGACTTCCATTCTATAGCTTCAGCAACACCCATGAACATCAACACTCAAGTGCCTTACCTATGATGTATAATATGTAACTAAATATTTCCTACACCATCCACTACCACAAAGTTTACCACACTATCTGTAGAAGTCATTCCAATTCCATACCTTCAAAACGATTCACGGGGTTACAAATTAATCATGCCTGAACGGTTTCAACTGCTGAATAAAAATCAAGCCCCGAATAAATTAAGTTAAAGGACACACAAAACGTTCATTCCCAACTGCACAAAATTAAGCAATCAGCAAATGTAACTACCCATTAATCAAATAGTCATTCAATCAATATGTCAAGGAAAGTAGATTTTTTTTTTTAAGTTTACGCATGAATGGAGGAAATATGAAAAAAAAGTGACAAAAAGCTAGACAACTAACACGCCATCATTAACACAAGAGATTACTGAATCTGCAAGAGGCTACATCACTAGACTAGAGAGGTCACAAAACTATAGCCGGAAAGGCAACACAAGAAATATATATATATATATATATATATATATATTCAATTTTGGGGCATTCCGAGTTACTGACAACATCTTAAAGCTTTTTCTCTTGTTTTGCTTTTAATGAATAAAAAAATACTCATCTATCTTGAACAGAAATCGAGATATTTGCGATTGAAGAGGGGGCGGGGGGGGGGGGGGTCGCCTAATTTTAGAGGTACAAAAATGGACGTCTAAGTTTGGTGACTTCCAAAGCTGACGTATCCTGAGAAACTGCAAATTTTTCTACATATACAGCCGTCAAGTAATTTGTACATGTAACATCTCTTTGACGGTGTTGCAAATTGAGCATTTTTTAGAAAATGAAAATATGCAGCATAAATGCTATTTACTCTTATTATTATTATTATTATTATCATTATTATTATCATTACTATTAATATTATTACTATTATTATCATCATTATCATTAACTCTGGTATCGCAAAATGTGAAGATATACATGTATATTTCTTGTGTCATTTTCAAGGCATTTATATATCTATAGTTTTGTGATGTCTCTTACTGACCCAAAGACGAAGAGACTAATTAGTTACACATAGGAAAAGGAAAGAGAAAAGCAATTTCAGCACCTCTCCAGAACCCATTATATATGTGAGGCAGTGTGGTGAAATCAGGAGCTAGTTAAAATACTGAAAGTGAAGAAACAGGCATTTTCCCGCAGTATTTTGGAATTTTTATCCAATTTTTTTGGGGGGCTCAACACCTTTCGTGCCTAATAAAGAACACGTTTCTGTGTGGATTTTACTGAAAAACGTTGATTAAAGGCATAAAAGATGTAAATTTTCAGTTTCCACGGACTCTCAAGCTAAGGAAATAACGAAACTTTGCTGGCCATTTTGTCACTAATTTTACCCCTGGAACCAAGCAACTCCCACCTCCTTCAATTGCCAATATCTTGACTAGTTCAAAAGATAACTGGATACTTCTTCGCTCAAAAGCCAGGCAAATGGATAGGCTTTAAGATGATACCATCAATAACTCTGTATGCCCCAAAATTGACGAGCGCCTGATTCCACTGCGTCGTTGCACATATGAAAAAGAACAGAAAAGAAAAATCTACCTTGTACTTAAACTTGTCCACATACGCTTTGAGGAACACGTCAAAAACTTCGACACTGCCCACGAGACTGCACAAGTAGGACAGGAAGCAGAAACCTTTCTCGTACGGCGTCTCGTTATACGTATCGTCTGGGTCCACGCCTCTGTCGATGACCACTCTCAGCTTGGTCAACGGGTGGTCCTGGATGAAAGCAAGCTACTTTTAGCTTTAGTTTAGTTTAGTTTTAGTAAAGGTTTTACGGCGCTCGCAACTGCATAATAAGGTCATATGAGCGCCAGAAGATTAGAGGTGTTACAAGAGAGTAACAAACATAAAAAAAGAAGAAGGGGAGAAATGAACGATAGATGTTCTTAGCTTTAGATTTAGCTTTAGCTTTAGCTTCATGCCGAAGCAGTCATATAGATAGGTGAAACTTTTTGCTGAGGCATATTTTTAGAATTTCTGATCAATATATTCGTAAAACTGGAGAGAAAGAGAGTGAGAGAAAGTGTTCGTGTGTGTGTGTGTTCGTGTGTGTGTGTGTGTGCGTGTGTGTGCGTGTGTTTGAGTGTTTGTGTGAGTGTGTGTGTGTATGTGTCTGACCGTGTGTGTGGGAGAGAGAGAAAGAGAGAGACAGACAGAGAGAGAGAGAGAGAGAGAGAGATAGAGAGAGAGAGAGAGGAGGGGGGGGGGCTGAGAGAGAGGGGGGGGGGGGGCTTGAATCGATCACATATGACACTGTGTTTTTGTACTACTGTAAAAATCTTACCAAAATGCACGGAGCACTTTCCAAGTGGAAATGCACTATAAAAGAAGTTATATATTATCATTGTGAAGGAAAGACGTGGATCTTTGGTCTGAATGCACAGTAACTCCATTCGACTCAGCTTGACATGTTTGACAAGAGTAAAAACCGTTGAAGTGACTCGTTTTTCTGGGCATAAAAATAGTCGTACCTGCTCTAACGGGCCAACTGTATAAGACAATCCACCTGTACAAACGGAAAGGCCACTTCCCATAATTTCCCCTCTTGGGAATTTTTTTTTTTTCTTTTTTGATACACACACGGTGTGTTCAAAAACTCACAAAGGAAAGGTCTCTGTGTGAGTGTGTGTGTGTGTGTGTGTGTGTGTGTGTGTGTGTGTGTG